GGCGACTCCATCAGGCAAACCTCCAGGAGACATCAAGAAGTCTAGATTTAACGTGACCAAGGTTGACTACCTCGGCGTTCTGCTTGAAGCCGGTGTGGGCCTTAGTGTCGACCCTCGGAAAGTTCGATCGATACAAGACTGGAAGTTTGAGGACCTCCGAGACCGCACCGCGATCCGATCATTCGTTGGCCTATGCAACTTCATCCGTGTTTTCTGCTACCACGCCTCTGGAGTGGCAGAACCTTGAACCGGTTGCTTAAGAAGGATGTTGCCTTTGTGATGGGCCCGGAGCAACGCGAAGCATTTGATCAACTCAAGCGCCTGGCTATCGAAGCCCCGGTCCTCGCCTTCTTTAGACCAGAACTGCCGACCCGACTGGAGACCGATGCCTCCCGGAATGCCACAGCTGGTGTTCTATGGCAGGAACAGCCTGATCAGACCTGGAAGCCCGTTGGATTCTTCTCTAAGACCATGACCCCGGCCGAGCGAGCCTACCCAATCCAAGATCGAGAGCTCCTCGCCGTCGTACAGAGTCTAGAGCACTTCTACCCAGAGCTCTTAGGCCAGAAGTTCGATGTGATCACCGATCACGAAGCCTTAGTCCATTTCTCTACGAAGCGCCTGCTCTCGGTACGACAGATCAGATGGTCCGACTTTCTCGCCCAGTTCGACATCCGTTTCCTCTACCGCCCCGGTCGACTGAACGTAGTCGCCGATGCCCTCTCCAGGAAGACAGCGGAGCTCCCTACCGTAAAGGCCCGGGAAGCCGAGGAACGCACGGTGACCCTGATCCTCCGGAAAGGCTAGGCTTCGCGACCGACTCTCTAGACCCTACGGCCGCCGGCAACCTGCCCCCTCAGAACTTTAGTCCCGAACCTAAGCCTACTAGACCATTAGTTCTGAGGGCCACGAGTGCCCTACAGACCCCAGAAGACCGAGGATACAGCAGACGCCCGATCAAGACCGCCCAGAACTAGACCCGAACTCGGTCCCGAAGGAGCCGAACTCGTTTCGTTGATCCGCCAAGAGAACCTCCTCCAAGACCTCGGTACCCATGGAACACACCTGGTCGTACCAGCCCAGACCTCAGACAAGCAGACGTTTCTTCAGACCGCGCTCATTCGCGAAGCCCACGAACCCCAGATCTTCGCTCACGCCGGACAGAACAAGGTGATCAAGCTGCTCCAACGAGACTTCTACTGGCCAAGGATGAAGGAGGATATCCGTCGTTATATTCGGAACTGCCACGACTGCCGCCGCAACAAAACCCCTCGAGACAAGACCCCTGGACTGCTCCATCCACTGCCCGTACCGACCTCTGTTTGGGAGCACGTCGAATGTGACGGGAAGGATATGCCGAAAGACCGTTACGGATATGACTATGTTTGGACCTTCGTCTGCAAGCTAAGCCGGATTATCGCCACGCTCCCAGGAAAGAAAAACGATACGGCAGAAGTCTTAGCTAGCCGCTACTTCCGCTACCTCTATCGTTTCTTCGGTATGCCCCTCGTATGGATTTCTGACAACGCTGGACAGTTTATTTCTGCCTTCCTCGCAGAGATTAACCGGCTCACGGGAACGAAGCATCGTCATGGAAGCTCCCTACACCCTCAGACCCAAGGTGTAGAAGTCACAAATCAATACCTAGATCAAAAGCTACGATTCTACGTGACGAAGCATCAAGATAACTGGAGTTCCCTGCTGCCCGCCCTCGACTTCGCCCATAACTCGTCTTGGCACTCTTCCATCGACATGGCACCGTTAAAAGTAGCCCTAGGCCGAGATATCCGGAACCCCCTGTCACTGCCCCCGACTGACAAGACCGCTGCCACCGGACCCGCCGCCAGAGCTAGGGAACTTGTGCAGACCGCCCAGGAAACCCAGGAAGACGCCAGGAATGCTGCCACCGCCGCTCAAGAACGTCAGAAGGAACAGGCTAATAGGAAACGACGACCAACCGACTTTGCCATCGGTGACCGAGTTTTCTCAGCAGGAAAGGCTTCGCCACGAACGCTCCGACTACTCGGCTAGATAACCAATGGTCAGGTCCGTTCGTAATCCTGGAAGAACGCGGTCATAGCTACGTACTGCAGCTGCCCGAGTCGTACAAAATGAAGAACCTATTCCACGCCGACCGTCTTCGAAAAGCAGCCGATAACCCTTGCCCCAGCAGATCCAGTCACCTCCGCCACCCGAGGAGATCAACGGAGAACCCGGTGGGAGGTTGATCAAGTCCAGCAGTCTCGAGTAACCGGTAGAGTCGACGACTGGAATACCAGGTCTTATGGAAGGGATGTGACCCTGATGAGACCTGGTACCCGGCTAGGAATTTCCGTAACGCACCAATGGCATTGAAGATTTTCCACGATGAACATCCGGACGCAGCAGGCCCACCCGTCAACCTGCAATACTGGATCGAATGTGCTGCAGCGGAGGAGGGCTGCGAGGAACGAGACGATGACGACACAGCAGAGAAAGCCGTGAAACCAAGAACCCGCCGCCACGACTGACTACCTTGATACGCATATCAAGGCCTTAGACGGGGGGCAGTGTCACGACCCTGGGCGCCAGCGTAGAGCCGCCAGCGCAGAACCTCACCAGTGTCACGTGCCCAAGCAGCATCACGTGCCCACGCGCGACCTCGTGTCTATATAAGGGCCCGCTCGGTCGTGTAGTCTAGTCTTCCTTTCTTGCTCCTTAGCTTTGAGTCTTTGTTCATAGTGCCAATACATCTTTATAGCCGTCAAGGCTCGTATGTGCCTGGCCGTAACACCCTCTTTGAATGAAAGAATTAAGAGATTGCAGTCCTTCCATTCGTATGTCCACAGCCAATCTCACGCCTAAACCAAGATGGTGAAGGTGCTCATCGGCCTCTAACGCCAACCCCAGCAAGCACGTAATAGGCGAGGAGATGGGGTGAGGAGATGACTTACTTGAATATGCAGCTCCATGGCAGCTGCGTTGCCGATGTACCGGGCGTGGAAGTGAAATGGGAGGATTTCCATGTCATCCCCTCGCCGACAGACGACGACTAAAGTAGGGTTAGAGTGCAAAGAAGTCATTCCAACTCGACATTTACCTGCCTTGGATCGGTGTGGACTATATATACCAGCAGAGGAAAAGACCCCGAAGAGTTAGCATAAGCCAGAATGGCAGTATTGGGATGTTTTCCTAGAACAGGTAATACAAAGGAGCCATTGCTTCCAATCTCGATCAATATAGTATTCGTCAATACCGAGATCATATGGAGTGGCGGAAACCCCAGCCATCCAAAGTCAAGGACAGTCTCTGAAGTGATTGGACCCACTCCGTATAGGTAGTACGAGCTGGCGCCGCGTAAAAAGCTGCCAGTCGCGACTCATGGCTCAAGGCACCTTCCTGGTAGCTGATTTTGACTTCTTCTGGCTACATTACGTCGCCAGAATTTGGAAGCTCCTTTTCGAAGTGGGGTAGTAGCGCTGCGAAGCTTTACGTGTCCTTCTGCCTCAACGACCGCAATCTCTTGAGTGCGCGCATCGTTGCGTTCGGATCTCAACAGCACTCCTCCAAGTATTAGAGATACTGATTGGGGTCCGAGGCTCCTTCTCTATCGCCCGCTTCTATACATATAATAGCCACTTTCTAAAGAACTCCTTCTAGTTAGGCACAGATATAAGCAAACCGGCCTGCCTTGATTCTAATGACTTTTCTATCTATAAAGAGCTTGTTCTTTATTTTCGCTTGACTAAGTATGGAACTTGGATCGAGCGTCTTCAAATCATGACAGGTCGGGCGGGGAGAGTCGGCCTAGTCTTTCGAGCCGGCGTGGTCAGCAGCCGGTCTAGCTGATTCACAGCGTCCGGTTCTCCCTCTGGTTCAGTCTCCGAGGGTGTCGGCCCGGAGGAGGTCAGACTTTCTTGCAGCAGTCGAGTTTAGTCGCGCGTGGCATCACGGTCTGCCTCGCGCTCTATGCGTAGATTTTGCATATATTCGGCCATCTAATTCAGTATCTACATTAGCAGCTAGGAGGTCCGCCCCGGGGAGCTCCCGTCTGCCAGGGTCGAGTCTATTGTTAGTGTGAAAGGCTGGCCCGGAGTTTATTCAACAAGCAGGTGCCTAGGTGTTGTCTATCTAGAGCTAAGGAGGAAAAGAAGCTGAACTCGAGGCGTAGCCTCGAGTGCGAGCTTATATTACCCTTCTCGGAATGTTCTCGCAGCTTCTGGGTCCGCGGGCGGGCCGGTGTTGCCACCGGGCACGACCCACCGGACCCGGTACAACCGGGTCCACCAGCCGGGCACAGCCCGTGACATTACCCCCCTTGTCCCCTCCGACCAGGTCGGCGTCTGCGGGGTTCTTGCGTTCCTGCCAGCGTCTCGTACCTCTCCTAGGGCCATCATTGGTCTTGATTGGCCCGTACTTGTCCTCGAATGCCTTCATCGCAATTGTTCCTTGCAACCACTCAACTGGCTCCCAAGTCGGCTCTGCGTAGCCCGTCCATCGCACTAGTGCTTGCCTGAATTCCCCTCGTCCGCGCTTCTTCCATCTCGCGCAGAGGATCTCGTCGACATCCCACAGATCCGTGCCGGACTCATCTTGTACCGGTGGTGGCTGTGCGTCATCTACCTTTGGCCAGGAGCCGGATCTTGATGCGCCCGCCGCAAAGGTCAACATGAAATCGCGGGTAAATTGAGCCACGAACATCGAGCTCAACAACGTGCGAACTAATTACCTTCGTGACTGTGTACTTGTGATGCAGCCAGTCGAGCTTCTTGCACGGTCGTGGCGATCTGTAGTTTGCCATCGAGAGCCACACCTTGTCACCAACTTCAAATCGCTCCGCAGGCTGTCGCTTTGCGTTGGCAGCCTCTTCTTGTTGTTGCTGTGAGGAGGCCATCACTGCTTGCATGTACTCATTGACCTCCTGCAGGCGACTGAGTAGGCTATCAGCTCTGCTTTCCTCTCTATGCCTCGGTGGCTCTTCCGATTCCTCGACGCTGATGGGATCGACGTGGTAACCATGCTCAGCGAAAAGGGGCTGATCTTGGTCGCTGCGGATTCACGATTGTTGAGTGCCAGCTGCGCGGCAGGGAGCAGTTCTCCCAGTCGTCCTGCACGTACGACACGTAGGCTCTCAGGTAGGCCTCGATCTCCTGGTTCATTCTCTCTGGCCCTCCGTCCGTCTGAGGATGATAGGCCGTGCTCAATTTCTGCGTGACACCTGCAAGACGGCAGAACCTCTTCCAGAACCTACTTAGCCAGTTGCTCCCGCGGTCGCTGACGATGGACCGTGGCATTCCGTGAAATCGGTAATGACACTGGAGAAAACGGTTTGCACACTGCTCAGCTTCCATGTTGTCCATCACCTCGAGGGTCACAGCCTTTGTCAGTCTGTCCACAATCACCCACAGGTACCTTGCCTTGCTCGGTCCAGTAGGCGGCAGATCTGTGATGAAGTCCATGGACAAATGGCTTCGGGGTCGATCTGGAATCGGCAGAGGCTTGAGAAATCCCCTTTTCGACTGGCGCCAGATGTGTGCTCTGCCGCAGGTGTCGCAATTGGCTACGTACCGGCGAACCAGCTGGGACTGCCCAGGCCAGTAGAATCGCCGAGCCACAATAGCCAGCGTACCTTCCCTGCCGGGATGACCGGTCGCAACAGAGTCATGCGACTGCTGCACAATGCGGGTTCTCAACTGGTCTTTCTCAGCTTCCTCCTGGTTACCCTCCTCTCCGGATCCACCCGGCACCCAAATACGGTCTCTGAATGTCAGCCTTTTGCCTGCGTCGATCGCACATTCTGAAATCTGGATCTTCAGGCCCAGCGAGGGCGGGAAGGCACGCTCGCGATCGCGGACTGCCTTATAGGCTGCCCGGAATATCGAGTCCTTCGCCACCGTTTCGTCCCAGAGTTGCTGCAGGTCCGCTACCTCGAAGACCTTCATCTTCGGCAGGGTGGATGCCTCTGAACAGTCAGAACTCATCGCGTTGATACATGCTCTTGTCGATGATGGAATGGCACTATCCGGTATCAACTGTATCATTCTTCCTTGTTCCCGCTCGTCGTCAATGCCCTGTGGCTTGTCTTGTTCACGGCGGGACAACGCATCAGGCACGACAGCCTCGCTTCCCGGTCGATACTCGAGCTTGAAGTCGAACTGGGACAATTCGGCTGCCCAACGGCTCTGCCGTTCCGTGAGCTTCTGGCGTGTCATGAAATACTCCAGGTTGCGGTGATCGGTAAGGATTGTAAATGGGCCGCAGCTCCTAAGTTCGGCGTTCCAGTTGTCGAGACATCTCATGATGGCAAGCATCTCCTTGTCGTGAATGGGATAGTTGTACTCCGCTGGCGAAAGTCGCTTCGAGAAGAAGGCGCATGCGTGTCGACGTCCATCTGGGCCTTCCTGCGACAGGACGCCTCCCAATGCGTAGCCTGAGCAATCCGTCTCCAAAAAGGTCGGGAGGCTCGGGTCCCACTGCTTGAGCACCGGTGACTCGCAAAATCGTCGCTTCAGCTCCTGAAACGCCTCGTTCTCCGCTCGTCCCCAATGAAAGGCAGTTCCTTTCTTAAGCAGGGCATCCAGAGACTGCGTGATCTTGGCATAGTCGGGGATGAAGATCCGGTAATAGTTGGCGAAGCCCAGAAAGCTTCTGACACCCTTCACCGTGGTCGGGCCTCCCATTCGCGGATGGCGCGCTGCTTTTCGGGGTCGCAGGCGATTCCTTTCCTGCGTTGACGATGAACCCAAGGTATTTGACCTCTTGTACCGAAAACTCGCACTTCGCTGGGTCTAGGTGCAGCCCAGCGTCGGCGAGTGCTTGGAGAACTCGTCGCACCTTAGCCTCATGATCCGCCTTCGAACCGCTCGAGTAGATCAGTACATCATCCAGGTACGCTGTGACAAAGTCGTCCAGCCATTCGCGCAATACACTGTTCATGTATCGTTGGAATGATGCCGGGGCGCCGCTCAGGCCGAAAGGGCACACGAGCCACTCGTAGAGCCCAAACCTCGTGCGAAATGCAGTCTTTCCCTCATGTCCCGGAGCCATGCGGATCTTATGGAAAGCGGCCACCACGTCCAACTTGGTGAACCACTTAGCCTTGGCCAGATTCTGCAGGGTCTCCGCGATGAGGGGCAGTGGGTATCGGTCGCGCTTGGTGATTGCATTCAGCGCTCGGTAGTCGCAACAAAATCGCAGCCCTCCATTCGGCTTCCGCACGAACAGCACCGGCGCGGCAGCCGCTGAGCTACTCGCTCGGATGAATCCTCTGTCCAGCAGGTCTTTCAGGGTCTTTCGCAAGACCAACAGCTCTTCTCGTGACATGTTGTAGAGTGGGCCCCACGGAAGGGGTGGCTCGTTGCCGTTCTTGTCAGGCTGCAGGTTGACTTCATGATCCACACCCGGTCGATGTGGCGGCAGCTTCATTGCCTCTTCTGGTGAGAATAGGTCGCGGAATTCTTTCAGCACTTCTGCCGGGACCTTCTCGCTCGGATCGACTGGCGGCTTCGGCTGAAGCGCCTCTCTATATCCGACAAACTGATTGCATGAATCGAGATCGCGTTGCACTTCTTGCGTCTCTTTGCGCGTCGACACTCCGCCGTGAATACGGCTGCCGACACGAGTCTTGCGCTTCGAATCGCGCGTATCTTGGCGGGCTCTTCCTGCCCAATGAGGCGTATCGTCACACCTGCCCTCCCATGGTACATTCGCTGCTTGGCAGCATCGTACACGACGTGATTTCTCTCCATCCAAGGCCGGCCGAGGAACATGTCCTGGCCCAGGCTTGGGATCACGTATCAAAGACACGTTCGTCAAATCCAGCTGTCTCGACCACAACAGCCACGACCCTGGGGATATGACACTCTTCGCTGACTCTGAGAATCCCCAATTTCTCGTGGTTTCGAGTCGACGAAGGGTATCCGCAGCTTCCGAACAAGGGCTTCGTCGATCACGGCATAGCAGTCACATCCACAGTCGACAAGGGCGCGTATTCGATAGCCTCGGTTTACCCGCGCGTTGACTAATACAGTCCGACTATTCATTCGTGGCTTGAACGCTTCCCAGTCCCGGATGTCTGCCTTTGCAGGCCCCGGCGCCCGCTTTCGCCCCGGGGCTAGTCTTTTCCCGCCGACTCGTCCTCACTGGATGCTGCGGTTGATTCCGAATCATCTGCGGCATCGGGCTTCTTCATGCGCGCAGCTTTAGGTCGCTGTTGCTTCCCTTCGCCAGGAAAGACCACCTGGGCTGGGCAGTCCACGATAAGATGATCCGTCCGACCACAGCGATAGCAGCGGCGCTCATCCTTCGGCTTCTTATCGACATGTCGACGACCCTTCGACTCGTGGCCAATACGGTTGATGTCCGTCATCTTAACATCTCCGTCAGGGTCCTCCGGTTCCTCCTTGGGTCGTTGCCTTGGTAGCTGTTGAGGCGTCCGCTCAGTCGACGTCGGCTGCCTACCGGGTTTCAGTCTCTCCAATCTGCCCGCAATTTCCTGAACTCTCGCAAGCCATCCCTGGTAGTCGTCGGGTAGGACGGCTGTGACCAAACTCTCTTGGAGGCGTGCATTTATTGCGTTCTCTAGAAATACGATCTTTGCACTGTCCGGCCAGTCTGCTCCCCCGGCTTCAGCTAATGCCTGTTCGAATCGGGGAAGGAAGGACGCGAGAGGTTGGTCTTCGCGCTGCCGCATAGTTCTCAGCGTGGCAGCAGCGCAGGATTGGATGTTGCTGTCCTGGTAGGTTCGGTCGAGGTATCGCATGAACTCTTGGGGTCGTAGCTACCCCAGGGCCTCCGCGGCGTAAAGGTAGCGACCACTTGCTGTGGTCGCTCGTCCAAACATGAGTTGATGAGGTACCAAAGTTCGCGATTTCCACTGTAGTAGTGTGCATCAAGGTCCAGCTTGTCTCGCATCTGCCTGGCCCAGGAGGAGTAGCTCTTCCGTGAGCCGTCATACTTGGGTGGGTTGGGCAACGGTTTCCGCATTCCAGTACCGCAGGTTTTGGGAGGGCGTGCCCAAGCCAGGCGTGCTCTCGCCCAATCCTCGTGCCACTGGCGGCGATTGCAAGTCGGCGCTCTGCGGCTGCGCTCGCCCGAGTTGCTCCATCAGCAAGGAAAGTTGGTCCTGTAGAGGGCTGAGAGTCGCATTGACCGCTTCTTGAATGCGTTGGTCAATCCATTGCTGCTGGAGACTTGGGCTCTCACTCTGCTGGTCCATCCTGACGAGCAGTCTGCAGCTTGCGGTATTTAGAAGGAGCTCTAGATATGTGAAAGGCTGGCCCGGAGTTTATTCAACAAGCAGGTGCCTAGGTGTTGTCTATCTAGAGCTAAGGAGGAAAGAAGCTGAACTCGAGGCGTAGCCTCGAGTGCGAGCTATATTACCCTTCTCGGAATGTTCTCGCAGCTTCTGGGTCCGCGGAGCGGGGCCGGTGTTGCCACCGGAGCACGACCCACCGGACCCGGTACAACCGGGTCCACCAGCCGGGCACAGCCCGTGACAGTTAGCGAGCTCTAGGTATGTAAAGAGGCTGACCCGGAATTTATTCAACAAGCAAGTGCCTAGGTGTTGTCTATCTAGAGCTAAGGAGTACCGGTAAAAGAAGGCTACTCGAGGCTCCGTCTCGAGTAGACCTTATATCGCGTAGGGTAGAATGTTCTCGCAGCAGCCGGCTCCGCAGAGTGGGGCCGGTACCGGTGCCGGAGCATGACCCACCGGACCCGGTACAAACGGGTCCACCGAGCCGAGCACAGCCTGTGACAGTCTATAATAAAGGATGCGGCCGATCGTCGACCAGATTGCGACTGTAAGAGACCAATCAATTTCCAAAGATGTAGGTTTCCTGCCACGCTCTGAAATTAGGAATTCAAGACGCTCCAATCGGCCGGACTTTCGAGGATAACCTCAGCCTCCACTATAGGCTCTCCTATGGATGGGACTCGTATTCGATCGATTCAATGCGGATGAAAAGGAGGATGGAACAGGATCTCTATGGCGGGAATTTGATTGTTGGATGCGCAATTCTGGCGTGAGGTGAAGGGTTGGAAGAGAGATGATTCGCTTGTAGGGCAATGAGACTCTTCATTGTCAGCATCTCGGGTAAATAGGTAATTTATAAAGAGGCTCAATTGATTGATTGACGATCAAAAAGGGATTATAAAGATGATGGATCAGGATGATGACCACGCTGCGACTGATCTTGTGACCTGGCCTGACGATCCTCGACTCAGATTTTACAGGGAAGTCTTGCACCTGCTCATTCTGACAGAAGCAACTTAACCCGCAATGGCCGGCCAGCCATCCCTTCACCTCTCGCATCATGGACATCAGATACCGTAGATATATCATATAATTAATCATTGCCCCGAACAAGATTGAATGCAGTCAGCATTTGCCCCTGTCACGTCAGCTGTACGTACATAGCTCCTTTGGTGCTCCGCTGTGCCACCCGGATCAAGATGCTTGCCACGAATAGCCAATGGCATTGGACGCTTGTCGAGAAAGAGACAAAGCTAATGGCGGGCTGACGATACGTATTGACACTTGTCGGCTCACCAGGGACCGACACCTGGCCGCAAGCCGCTTATAAAGGCTATGCTAGACCACTCCTTGTGTACGGGCGTTGTGCGCAGCAACAGTTTTACTAACATTTGGGGGCCAAATCAACCCCGTGCGCACATCGCAAGACTCAACTGTCTAATCATTGCGATTGAACCAGCAGCACTATCCGCACTTACTCTACGCCATCATGCTCCTCCACCACCTATACGCGAAGTCTGCAGCACTCTTAGTCCTCCCTAGAGGGAATCTCGCAGCCAAGCCAATCGATCAGCGCAGTGCCCAAGAGATAGTCAACCAGCTCAAACTTGTGCCAAACATCGAAAAGGGCTACTATGCACAGACATTTGAGGACCCGGCTACAGTTAACAATCGTTCCGTCAGCACTCTCATCTACTACTTGCTCGAAGGTTCTGCGGGCAAGTCCAAATGGCACCGCGTCGATGCTGCCGAGGTATGGCACTTTTACGCTGGCGCACCACTCACCCTGTCCTTGTCGCTTGACCATGGCGCCCCCGTCGCAGAGCACATCCTAGGACCGGACATCTTCAACAAGCAGACTCCGCAGGTCGTTATCCCAAGGGGCACCTGGCAAAGTGCACGCTCTCTTGGTTCATGGACCCTGGTAGGGACTACTGGTGAGATGTGATGCTGTAGTCTTCCATCACGAGTTCCAGACGGCTAACACGAACATTCTAGTTGCACCGGGCTTTGTCCCAAGCGGGTTTGAGCTCGCGCCACCGAGCTGGGAGCCTGCAGGTTCTTGCAGGTCTGCCACGTGCACTAAAGTTGCTAAGAAGTACGACTAGTATATAGACATTTATTAGAGGGTAGGGTTTCTAGTCTTGGCGGTTTTATAGTTATAGCCTTACAAGGATAAGACCTTTTATTACTCTGTTCCTTAAAGCACCTTTTGTTACTTTGTTCCTCAAGGCATACGGCCTTTTGCTACTTCGTTCCTTAAGGTAACAATCCGACCATTTACAGGATGTTTTTAAACAGACCAACTAGAGGGCAGGATTTACAGTCTTGGCGGTTTTGTAGTCGTGGCCTCACGCGGATAAGACCTTTCGTCACTTCGATCTTCAAGGCACAGCCACACTATAGAAAGCAAACCTCACTTCCTCTTCTCCAACAAACCTATAAACCAACCCGAATTGCTCGAACTCCGCAATGCCTAAAGGCATTGGCGGCCCCCGAGGGGACCGGTCTCCTGTCTTCCTGACAAGGCGTCTTTGCTCTGTTTCCAATTGTGGCCGTGTCGTAGAAAAGCCACTCATAGTACCCGTATGGGAGCCCCTCCTCTTTCTGTCTACTGTGGCAGTGTCGCCATGCTGCAAGCTTGAGGCGTTTTTGCACTGTCTCCCATTGTGGCCGTGCTGTGGAAAGCCACCAACAGGTAGACTCTATCTGGGAACACCCCCTGTTGAATGTGATATAAATTGCTAGTCTTGTCCTCCCACGCGTCAGCCGTTTAATCATGACCATTCACTGCGCCCCCTCTTTGTTCCCGAGTACTATCCCAGATGCTGCAGAGTCGCCGTCTTGATGGCAACCATCGGGAAAATCGCCAATTCTTTGGTGTCTGCAACTAACGAAAATACCCTCGCACTTGTTAGCATCAATGCCGACTTCACACTGCTCCGCTGTAACCCGTCGCCCGAGTATGCTCCAGTTGGCTCTGCCTTGACCACCCAGCGGAGGCACGAGGCCGAACGGGGGGCCATGCACGCAACCGCCTGCAAACTAGGCTTCTTATTCCACGAGATGTTGCCCAACACGCCCAAGCTTCTCAAGGCGTATGGGACCCGAGTGTCGGAGGTTCTTTCCAGCCCAGACATCAACCCGCAAGGTACGCAAGAGCATGGGCCGTTCCAGGCCTTTATCGGTGCCGACTGCACTTCGGTGTGGGCTGCTGCCACCTGCGGACCGGCATCCATCGGTGTCCTCCTGTTTGCAAGCATGCTCGCGCGAGCCTGGGACGCCAGCGAGGCCACGGCCGCCTGGGTCCAGCTTGTCCTGGAAAGGCAGAAGCAGGTGCGAGCCAACATTGAAGAAAACAGGATCGTCCATCCGTACTCCCTGGCAGCTGCTGAGCAGGAAATCGGAAGACGGGAGCTGCAGAACTGGGATGCTAGCGCTCGCTCATGGCTCAGGCGAGCTGATGTCTGCATGACGGTGAGCCAAACGCAGTTCAGGCTCGTCATGGATAACCTGGCCATGCCATACACGTCCTCGGGGACCGACTACGAGAAGATGACGACGGCCTGGATCAGATCCATGGAAGTTGTTGAGCGGCTTCTCGACAATTTGCCCCAACAAGTATGCGACAAGGCTGTCCTACTCGCCATTTCTTCTTGGCACCTTTACCCGGACCTTGTCGTCTTTCAGCAAGAAGCCAGAAAGATTCCCTTCAAGGACGCCCTGTTCCCTGCCGCTGGGATTCTCAGCCTCGGCCTCGAATACAAAGGTCCTTCAGACAATGTCATGCGCTGGTCTCTCGCACTATCACACCTGCGCTACTACGGGGATCCAGTTACCGTCTACAGCAATGAGAACCAGAGTCGCGTACAAATCCATCAGCTGTGGCTTGTGGCTCTAGGGGCCATATTCCGCGAATGGGGCGTGTCGTACGCCAATTTTGACCGGGCGACGGGTTGGTTTCGGGACCTACATGCCGTCTTGACGAATCCAAGCCTTCAAGCGCGCAGGCCGGAGCTTTCGTTTATCGTGCGGCTATGTTCTGCAGTGGCTTCTCTCGACAAGACAAACCCAAATGCCGACGGGGGGTTGATTAGATACGGCTGGAGGCGAGCCACGAAGTTTCTCGGCGGAGCCGACAAGATGATGCCCAGCCCCTTTTTTGGACTTTGCAACCCGCATCTCATGGATGCCATGACCAAGGCCACAGATGTTGATTGCGGCATCACTTACCTTCGAGGCATTGCCTCTCAGTTGCAGCTTCAAGACCACGAGGCAATCATTTCGTACACCGGAGAACTGGAAGACGGACCCGTTTATGAAGAGTTTGCAACCGGGTTCCCCATCGAATGGTCCACGGGGCATCCATTTGAACAAGCTGCGCATGGCAAACTGAAAACGCACGTTAGATGGCTTCATCTTGACCTTAAAGGGAAACAGATGACAGAAGCTCTGCTGACACAGCTCGACCAAAAACGTCGCAACATAGAGCAGGCAGGGGAGCTGTGCTACACCTGCCGTGAAGCCGACATCCCGTATGTTGTCATGGGCGCCGCAAGACGCTACTACTGTCGCTGGAAGAATCCCCCTGGCATGCGTGGAGCGCGTTTCCCCGTTGAATTTGCCCCCGTTCTATCACTGCGAGACGAGGGAGCCTCCGGATTCCGCCTTTGGGTGACATCAGAGTACATGCACTACAACAGCCCCATGTCGAGGGTCCGTATAGCTGAAGCCACTATACGCGCCGCGGCAACCGTGACACCTTTGGATCAGTGTCAGCTGCACAACTTGCCACCTCATAGGGTAATTCTTTACCTGGTTGAATCATGCAATACTCGGGTGAGTACAACAATGTAGCTTTGCTAATGGCATCAAGAGAGGAGCTAATACAATGGGTAGTCGGAGCGCCAACCTCAAGCTCGGCTTGCAACCCCCAGCATCACTGGAACCAAACGGAAGGCTCCCATGGATGAAGAAACTGTACCTTGCGAAACTCAGACAGTCCCAAGTCCTGCGTCGAACTATTCATCGGGCGGACAGACCAAGAGTCAAGACGTGACGGGCTGTTTCCACTTGATGAGCAGAAGTTGCAACCGATCGATCCAGTGGCTCATGTCTCTACGAGTCTTGGAGGTTGCCCAAGACGTCTACCAGCAACTGCCCGGAGCCACCGTGTCGCTGCGTATCGTTGAGCAAGATCTGCTCAAGGCAAAATGGTTACCTCCAGCTTTCCAAAAGCCACTGGAATGGGACAACCACTCAATCTCTTTTGCCAGAGTGGCCGGGACCCCGGCCTCCGTTTACTTGGACGCAATGACTCGTGCGGCTTCGTTTGCCTGCATCGCCATGTTCGAGTCGGGCCACTTGAACATCAATCCAGAACAGCTCAACGAAGTCATTGCACTGTGCTCAGAAGACTCCATTTTTGTGACTGGGCTTTTGCTGTCTGACCCGTGCGTTCAGGGCAGTCGATCCCATATCCGGCACCTGGTGGGAAATGTTGGCCATTCAGGCATGGTGTTGATGGTCTCGCCTCTTGAACCTCGCACTAGGACCAGGGAGCACAATCCTCGACTTGTCGAACATCGGCCTTACGACAAGGCTGCCGACAAGTTTTGCGGCACCTCGCTGCATCTCTCCTTCACGACGTGGAAGATGCCGCTGGACTGGCAGAATACTGGCGAAATCGATCAGCAAGTCTTTCTTCTCGAGTCTGTCGTTTCCGTACAAGACAATGGAAAGTGGGTGGCCGATATTGATGTCATTGAAATGGAAAAGTTTTGCCCAGACGTAATTGAGAAGTTCTGCGGCGACATGAACTGCATGTCCAAGATGGTCGAGGGCCTGCCAGATCTGGTATCCATTGACTCGTGGGAGGAGTTCTTAGACAACCCGCCTTGCACCGGAGTGTTACGGGCAAGGAAGAATTGGATGGCGCGTCTGGCTGCCGCGGCCATCTTGGTACAGCAGGGCAAGGGTCATAGCGCAGCTATCATCGGAGACGAAAGCATCTGCTGGAACTGCGTGAGTAACTTGTACAGCAATCCTGAGCCACACCTACCCCAGATTATCCTGTTTTGATCCTAACTCTATACGCGGAACGAGTACTTGGACATTTTTCTGAAGTTTCTTGCATGTTTTTGATAGTAAGACATAACAAAGCTTATACAAGGCCTTTACCTATTGGAGCTCCTAATCTAGGGCCTACCTTGTTGACTAGAGATGTGTAACAACCTACATTTGTGAGAGGCTGGCCCAGAGTTAATTCAACACGTAGGTTCCAACCACCCCTACTACTACTCATTCCGCCATTTTGCTTCTCGGAACCGGCCCTGTTCCAGGATCTGTGTTTTCTCGATGATAAATGATTAGGAACGGGACTCCCTGATAACTCCTATAGAGGCAGATGAACCTCATTAAATAATAATTTCAATTTCTAACTTTGCAGTAGTGAAGTCCCATGGGATAAAGTGAGTGAAGTTCTCCGGGGGAGGGAGAGAGAGAGATCAAATTTGCCCTGATTTGTCTGCAGTCGTACCGTACAAGGTACCCCCTGCAGTGAGTGGGTGAATAAGCGTAAATCATCATGAATCCCCTTCCCTATGATCCGATCTGGATGGACGAACAAGCCGGCAAGCCAATAAGCCAAATCCAAATCGAATCACCGCCGACTGCCACGCCGCGTAAACCATCCCAAAAAGAGCGAGAGATATTGCTCGCCCTTGGCCTATACTACAACGAACCCGAACCGGCTCACAAATATTCACCTGAGAGGCCTAGCTGTCGTCTCACGACGTTACTATTATTTCGCAGGATAACAAGGGCAAGACTTCATATTATAGACATTAGAGTAGAGCTACCTAGTGCATTTACTACATCTGAGCGCTCGACTAGTACTTAGGGTATTAGACGTACCGCTCCACGTCACCCTTTCATTGCGGAGGCGCCTAGCTTCGGCAATGACGATCGAACTATGTCTTGGACGCGGGCAACTTGGATGCACAGTAGGTTACATAGCAGTGGCAGTTAAACTATTATTCAACGAATGGGAGCATAAGGAAAATAATTTGCACCATGGAGATGCCCTGCTCCAGCAATGTAGAGCCAGACCCCGCCCCCAAACTTGCAAGCTGATCGCCATCGTCTCTGAAGCGTGCTTGAGCGGGCACTCGTCCACCGACACCGGGGCCACCACGTGCAGAGCCCGCGCTTTAAACGGCTTTACTCTACCTCCCCACCCCAAAATGGCAATGTCTCCATAACTCCTGGATGTTCCTCGTGTGTCCAGTTGAGTGCACCTGTGGCCCCATCTACAGACCTTTCGTAACCACCTGCGTGTTTAACGTATTCAACTCCGTCTACCCTCCAGATAGGCCGGCCATTGTAGAACTCCCGAGCATGTGCTGCCAAACCGCCCACAGTCAACTGACCAGCCGATATGCTCTGGCACCTTCTCCAACCCTGAGCCAGCAACCGGTATAGCCCATAGCGCAACGTGCAGTAGCTGCTGGTCCTCGGAAGGACCCAGCAGTCAACCTGGCAGTCCTCTTCTTCAACCTTCTCCAGCTTTGAAGCCCGAAATTGAAGGAGGAGTAGGGTCGAGCCGTCGAAGCAGAAGACTTGGGGGCATTGATACTTATGTGCATATAGTTTCACCAATAGTAGTTTCTGTGAGAGGTTTGTTATGCGATGTCTGCAAGACACTCGGGTATCTAGCCCATGCTGCAAGGACTACATTAGATATTTCGGCGTGAAATAAGTTCTCGCAGTCGGCCTCGACTTCTATTCGCCATTGTCTCGCGTTCTGGCCCACAGTGGGCTCTTGCATGCGTATCCTGTCGTCGTCGTAAAGCGGAAGAAAGGCCTCTTCGAAGTTGGCCTAGCTTATACCCTCGTTGTGGACGTAGGAGCGGGGGACAAGATTGACTATCGGCTTGTACCGTCGTGCCCATTCTTTGTCCGAGGCAGTTGTATACCTGGTATTGTATACATAATTTGTAGGATGTTGCAGAATGTGGTACTCGGCAGTGTTGGTAGCCATGGCGACATCCAAGAATTCTATCTTCTACTTGCATGAAGGCCGGGGAGTCGCGAAGAGTTTAAATACATTCGATTCGAAAGGCAATGCGTCTGACGCAACGAGTGAACTCCGGAGCAGGCGCTCTCGATCATGCTGGCTACTGGAAACTGCTCAGCTGCATTAACCCTTTCAATGAGTGATTGCCCAATCTGATGATTGAGCGCTCGGCTTTAAGACGCAGAACATCGCATCGGGATGCCAATTCCAACATTCTGTCATTCGTCACCCGCCAATTCGCCATCCATCAGCATCTTAAAATGGATGGATGGGAGACATGCGATGATGCAGAGCGGCCGTCTCGCCGGGGCGCCAGGAAACTGCCGCCGAAGACAATCGTATCCCACACCTCCCCCCCCCCCCCCCCCCAGCTCGCTCCCCGTAGAGCACGCACGCAGGCTGACCATTGTCTTTGCCCAGTACTTCCGGTTCGGGAGCCGCATCATAGATGCCACGGGCGCACAGTCCGACTGGGAACACCCTAACGTACTACGACTTACTATACATGGCTCCACTCTCGATCGCGTCGTCCGGACACTACTCTATCCATTCCCATCAGCACTCCGCTCCTGGGTCCAATCCACCTTTCCGGAGTGGATGTTGCCGACAAACATTGTCCTGAAGAAGCAGAAAGACGACTGGGAGGACGAGTTTAACACAGAAGAAGCGACATACGAGAGATTGCGAAGCTTGCAAGGCCACGTCATTCCCATATGCTATGGCCAAATCGAGTACGACGGCGCTCGTGCCCTGATCTTGTCCGATGTTGGAGGCGCATGTCTTGCGGAACCCGAAGGCGCCATGCTAAACGAGAAAGAGCTTCGACCACTTCTCAACCGGGCACTCAGCGCTCTTGCTAGCTGTTGTATTTCGCATGACGACATAAAGCTTGACAATTTTCATCTCGTTGGCCAGGATCATGCTAGAATCATCATGGTCGTCGATCTAGAGCGTGTGGATGTGCTGTCATCCAAGGAAGAGCTTGAATGGATGGTGAAGAAGAACACAAATTCTCTGATCAAGGCGTATCGAGATCATCTTGATTGCTTGCGAGAAGACGGCTTGTTGCCACGCCGGAGCCAACACGGGGTTGATGGTGGCGAGAAAACTTCTGCAGGAGGGGGTGCTTGATAAAGGTGCTTCCAACCTAAGCAGTGTCATAACCCGTGACTACGAGGGACATTATGCAGATTGAACGGTCTGCTGTCAGTAGAAGCACGAGCTAATGATTCACTTCGCCAACTGTATCCAACAACCCAGGCCAACTAAGGATGAGAAGGACCATCTCCGAACTTCATATTTGCCATCTGCTCTATATTGGCTCTACTAGGCAGACTATGGCTCTATGTCTACCACATTGCGTCTTGGCGGTTTGACCGCTACCAAATGTAGTGTAATAGAGAATTGACAATAGAGCTTTTCAATAACTTATTGTTGTTCCCATCGACGCCTTCGATCCATACAGACAGCAGAACCAGTTCCTTTACTGCACTGAAACTCCAGAGAGGAGCGTCGAGTTCACATTGGTTCCCAGAACCCGATCCTGGATCTTTTGACTGTAACCTATATAAGGCTACAAACGCTACAACAAAGTGTTTGACTGTAACGGTCTATCACAACATACTCTGTTTTGACGAGAGTTTCTGCGACAGCTCTCTACGCGAGGCATATTCTTAATAGGTCGCGGGGGAACACTTCGGCTTAATTATGCATATATTCTTACTTGGCAGTTGCATACAAGAAGGTATCGATATGAATGAAACTATGGAATGGGAAAGAGAGATGCCTAATAGATACATTTCTTGCTTTGCTAGCAGCCAAAGGCCAGGTATCTTTCTGTAAGAGATAATGGACGCATGGCCTTAGATAGCTTTAGTTTGAAAAGCAGCCTATATAGAGCTCTTGCAAACCGTAACCCCTTTAGGTTGAACTGGCGAACAAGAGCAAACTCCTCAAAAGCACGCGGGCAGATACCTAAGTAACTAAAGTCAAATATAGTAATTATAGTAATAGACTCGCTAATCTTGACGTTAAATTGAGTTAGATCGCAGCGGCATATTTGAAGAGGTTCGCCTTGCTAGCTTACTCTCTTGGGGTACCTTGTTTCGTCGAGTTTGCCGTTTATCCGGCTTTCTAGCTCCAGAAGATTATCAAAAGTACGACAGGCACCTAATTTTGAGAAAAATCGGTCAACAGGCTCTTGTTTCCCAAAGGGTCCCAGGTGCGCGTTTAACGGGATGGGAATATCCTAAATATGACGAACAGAATTTGCGATAGCTTCAAGTATCTGTCCCGCTTCTTTAGGATGTTTTATGACATGGGGATATATTCCATAACGATACATGTTATCTCGAATCCCTGCGGGGTTGCTTTAAAAGAGTCGTAGATTCGAGGAATGCGGACAGTACGAGCATCAGCATGTTCATGTATATAGGCCGCCTCGGCTAATGTCACCCCTGTCCCGTATTTGATCTAAATTTGTTCGCTATAGGCAAAGCCGTTAGAACAGAAATCATCGGCTCTGCATAGAGCCACGACGACATCTCTCGGGGGAAGCTCGACGTCTCTGGGAAGGGGAGTGGGGCGTTGACGACATTTTTCGGGGAAGCGTCAACGACCTCTCCTGGGGATTTCTGCGTTGGAGTCATCTGGGTTGTCGGTCAGTCACTGACCCAGATTCTGTCTAGAGATGTTAAGTGGAGAGGAAGATGTGCTTTAGGTTTGGGAAACTGTTGAGGAATGAGGAGCGAGATAGTGCGGGAAAACGGTGGGCGGCACGCGACTCGCATTCTAACGCACGTTCCCGCTAGACACCTCCTAATAATCTACAATCTACTCTACAGTAATTTATGAAGCTGATATATGGTTAATAAGTATAAGCGTATTAGCTATTATACTTAGTAACTGTATATATACTATTATACTAGCTTTATATAAAGACAGTTTTATTAATCTTCGAGAAACTCAAGCTCTGGCAGCTCCGCCGCTCGCGCTCCGATAGTCG